CAATTGTTCTAGCAAACCTGAAGCACATCGATTTAATAAAATTAGCAATGCCTTTTATGAGGTTGCCGATTTAGGGGCTGAAACTGACAATAAGTGTGACAAGATGATTGAATGGATACAAGAATTGAAATGGGAGTTCACAGAAGTTGGAGATGTTTATGGTAGCAATAAGCCAAGATCTACAAGTATTCATAATGGTTTTCCCTCATGTGGTGATGGTATAATAATTCCACAAGAGAGTAGAGTCATTCTTGATCCATTGGCTCTTCGTCAAAAGAGGCGACCTCCATTGAAAAGAAAGCAATCCATCGTTGAAAAAGCTGTTAAGAAAAAAAAGGAAAGAAATAAGAAGCAAAAGACCTCCACTTATAATGAGGAAAATGTAGTGAAGGTAATCAATATCATACATTTTTCTACTTCTTTTATTGATTTTTTTTTTTTTTTTGGTTACTAACTTTTTATTTTTAATGCTTAAATAGGACTTTGAAGAGACTGAAAATATTCATGTTACAACCTTTACTACGGGTTTTGGTGCGACTAGAACACAAGAGGGTTTTACCTTAAATGTAAGACATTTATTTACTTTAAATACAATGATGTCAATAGGATTAAAGTATAATGGATGCAATATTTTTAACAATGTAGGAGACTAAAATGCAACGATCACAATATATTGGTGGAGAGAGTTTTGCCTTTAATAGGGGATCATTAATGTGGCCGCACATGTCTTCCCATCCAAATTTTATTGGGATACATCCATATTATGGTCATCCAAATATGCAATTAGGTGGAAGATATCCATTTCAATCAAGTACAGGAGGACAAGGCCTTGGCACGAACTCGATTTTCTTCAATGGTAGTGAATCCCAGGTACATATCATGCTCTCCATTTTATTTTATTTATTTTTATATAGATTATTAAGTACAATTTCTTAAAATATGCATCTTATAATTTCTATTATTTTTATTGTAGAGTGATCTTCATCCATCCTGAAGAGCATGTTATAATTTAGCTCCTACTTCTATGCCTTCACCAGAAGAAGAGCAAGTTGAAGAAGGACCAAAGATTTGAAGTCAAAATTGAATGATGAAAAAGGACCAAAGATTTGAAACATGTTATGATTTTGAATGGATGCTTCTTTTTGTTGCTACAATTTTTTTGAATGGATATGTTATATGATTAATGTACATGGTGGAAATACTTTTCCAACTTTTGTTTTTAATTTCACTCTTGGAACAATCACATTTAGAATCATGAATGAAGCTTCAAAATTTGATAGATTATAATAGTCTTAATTCATAATCAAAAATAGATGTTTGATCATTGGATCATCATTAATTTGGTGAGTGTTATTGCAGAAATTTCTTCAAGTTTTAGGATTGTTTAACCATAAATGTTGAACTTTTTTCAATGTTAAAATATAAATTTTTGCAATTTTTCTGCAATGCTAAACTTTTCAATCAACTACCATCAACCACAAATAATAAACCAAGTAGCAACACAGACAAAATAACACCAAAACTACACAACTTCATTACAAAAAGATACATAATCATTTGATCTTGTTTTACATTCATAAGTTCATAGACACTACTACTGATTACATACATTTGTGTACATTTTAAAGATTAAAAAAAATAAAAAATAAAAAATCGTGTGCACTTTCATATAATGCCAAGCAATATTCAAAAAAAATATTTGGTTCATATCCTAGAGGGAAGTCTCTGAACCATCATTCTTATTTCATTCATCATCTTTAGCATCTACTAGACCAACACCCCTATTCGAAACACCCAAATTAAAATGTCAAAAAATTGCATCTTGGATTAGCACATATGAAGTACAATCTATCAAGACTTTCTGCAAAATTCGATATTTGAACTAGGGCTTGTCACCCGCATTTTCATTATCTATTTCGAAACTTTAAGGCACCGACATTGTTTGATCTTATGCTACAGGATGGAATTTTTTCTTGTCAAAAAAAAAAAAAAAAATCAGTTGACGTACCATTTAATAAACAAAGTTACTATATCTCAGAGAACTTTCAACAAACACCTTGAAGGTGACACTTTGAAGGTGCCACTAAATAAACAAAACTACTATTTTCCAGTTGATTTTCAACAAATAACTAGAATGCCTCAAAATAGGAAGGGAAAAAAAAAAGAAAGAAGGAAAAGGCACAAATCAAACAAGATCCACAAATATTCAACTACAAATGAGGTTGAACTCTAAAACTAAAATATCCTAAAATAAATTCTTACAAAAGGATGGAAATGCGGATGTATAGTTGAAATTAATAGTTGAGATGTTGATTTTTGTTTCTCTGGAAAAAAAAAAATTGATTTAGAAGCTCCAGGTATCTGTAAAATTCAATGTATAAAGAGAAATAGAGACTTGTATAGATATTGATTGTATTATTGATTGATTGATTATGTTTACAATGAGTCCTATATATAGAAGAGTAGAGTAGGTAGGTGTGTAGTAGGTGGAGTAGGTGGTAGTAGGTAGGTAGGTGTGTAGTAGGTGGAGTAGGTGGTAGTAGGTGGTAGTGGTAGGTTTTAACAGCCCCCCGCAAACTCAAGGAGGAGAGACACAAATCAACTTGAGTTTGGAAAGAGTAACAAAATAAGAAAATAGACTAATACATAAAATAAAAGAGGATAGAAGACACTGTATGGTCGTGTCAGACCGTTGTAGCAGATAATGTCTGGACAGTTGACGAGGTCACACCGGACCGATGGAGAAGCTAACCGGAATCAATGTCGGGATAGTTTATGGAGTCATGCTGGACCGTTGTAGAAGCTAACCGGAATCAATGTCGGGACAGTTTATGGGGTCATGCCGGACCGTTGGAAAAAGTCGCACCCTCAAAAGGTGTGCCCAATCTTTCAAAAGGCGTGCCATCAAAAGGCATGCCCAATCCATAAAAAGGTGTGCCGGACATTATGGCGATGCGCGTGACTACCTTGGCTTGCGCGCCCATGTTGTCGTCTAACGCCGAGCGGCGCACGATGCGCGTGTCTGCCTTGGCTATTTAACCAAGACGGAGGCTGAGGCTGAGGCTGAGGCTAAGACAAAAACCTGCTAAAAACCTCTGAAAAACTCTTCGTTTTCTGAGAGAGATACTCTGTAACACTCGGGTGCCCAGAAAATGGCCTCTTCTTCCCGTTCAGCTACCCAGAACATGGTCTCTTTTTCCCGTGGTCTGCTCACTCTCTTTCCAGACCTCAACGAGTCCACAAGAGAGATAACTGGTGCGGTTGCCCTTGAACCCCAACCAAGCGCCTCTAGTTTTGCTCCGTTGAACTTTCCTATGCGGTCTGTGGAGCAAAAAATGGCAGTGCAATCGGATATTGAGGTCAATCAATATACATTGAAGTCATTTGTGGAGACCATGACTGCGGTCACAAACTTGTCGCACCGGCTTCAAAGTAGGACAAATGAGGTGCAGCAATTAAACGCCCAACTGGCTCTGCTCCAGCGCATGTATAAGGATGCGCGAGCAGAGATAAGTGTGCTAAAGGCGGAAAACAAGGAGCTAAAGCGGAAGGCCACCGTTATGTTCCGATTTGGAGGTCCGCCATATGCTGCAGTGGAGGAGCATGGGGGAGTGAACGTGCTCAGTGGACTAGGAAGTATGGAGGCAGCGCCGGTAAGGGACACCCAAGAGAAAAGCAAGAAGAAAAGACCCGCAGCAGAGTAGAGAAGAAACATCCCACTGTGGGTGTTGTTGTTTTGTTGTGGTTTGTTTGTTTTTTTTTTTGTTTGTTTTTTTTTTTTTTTTTTTTGGTGTAGAATGGTGAGCGGGGTGAATCCCTGATATGAATAAAGCAAGTGTGTTTTGCAAACTCAAATGGGAGGTGTGGTAATGCAGAAAAATCAACTGGGATGAATGTAGTTTTGTGTTTTTTTTTTTTTGAAAATAATAATAATAATAATAAATAAAATGAAGTGTTGGAAGCCAGTGGAATCAATGAAGGCTAGTATAATATATTTGAGTGGGGAAAAGAATGATGGGTATGTTGATTATATAATAAAATAAAAGTGGGTAGTGGAGAAGATGAGTGTAAAGAAAAGTTGAGTGAGAATAGTGTGTTTGGGATTTGTTTGTAGCCACGTCTTTGGCAGATCAAACACTTTGGAAAAAGTTGAAAGAAAAGTTGAAAATATGAGGGGAGAATGGGGACAAGCCCATGTGAGTGAAAGATAGGTTTAAAGAAAGTGAGGGATGTGGGCGGTGGATGAACAACAGGATGTCCCATTGCTTCCTTCTTCTGCTCCTTACTCCCTCCTTCTCTCTCTAAGAATTTCTTCTTTGATCTGAATGGTCTAGATTTTCTCTCTCTACTCTCCCTGTTAATCATTTCCCTCTAAACACAAGAATTTTTCTGGGTTTCCACTTTAGCATGCTTCTTTTTTTTCTTTTTTTTCTTTTTTTTTTTTTTTTTTGCCTGACAATCCATCAGATTCCTTCCAATCTCCAGCCCTCTACATCTAGCTTCAGTCCTAGGAGGGAAGGTCTTGTCCTTCACCTCCAACATGTCTACTCGCTCGATCACGAACTTCTCAGAGCATGTTGTTACAGAAACTAGGTCCATCCACGGTCACATCTCCACGACTTCCGGCGTTTCCTCTCCAGTTTTCCGGCAAAAGTCGTGAGAATCATACTAACCGACGCCGACGCCACTGACTCTTCCAGTGACGACGAACCACAGGTTGTAAAGAGAGTGAAGAGACACATCAGAGAGATCAATTTCAAGCAATCGCCTAAATCAGTAGCCAATCCAAGCAGTAAGAAGCGAAGCCACAGGACTATACGGTCGCTGGAATCTGACGTCACTCGCAGGAAAAAGTTCTGCGGCGTCCGCCAGAGGCCGTGGGGGCGTTGGACGGTAGAGATCCGAGACCCGACCCAGAGAAAGTGGGTCTGGCTTGGTGATGATCTTGAGCTTACTCTTGGGAGCTCAAGGACCAGGTAAAGAAATGCTGAGCAGAAAAGATGGCGTGGGTCGACGTTGGCCAAAACACGGCGTCGGTGGCTGTCGTGTGGGCCGACGGAGTGCTCGACGACGTGGGTAAGATCTATGTTGTAACAAAGCTGCAGCAAGAAATAGTGATGGTTCACGGCAGCAAGAAATGTGGCAGCGGAGTGAAGGTATGTGTAGAGGTCCGGCGGGCGGCCAAAGCGAGGCTGCCGCCCGCCGGTGAAGCGGAATTACTAAGTTGTTAACCTAGCTCTGATACCATGTAAAATTCAATGTATAAAGAGAAATAGAGAATTGTATAGATATTGATTGTATTATTGATTGATTGATTATGTTTACAATGAGTCCTATATATAGAAGAGTAGAGTAGGTAGGTGTGTAGTAGGTGGAGTAGGTGGTAGTAGGTAGGTAGGTGTGTAGTAGGTGGAGTAGGTGGTAGTAGGTGGTAGTGGTAGGTTTTAACAGTATCTTCGCAGAGAACAAACTCTTGTGCTTCACAAAAAGTGATGTTCAATTCGTTTTGCAAATCACGACACGTTGTGTCTGGTGAGAGAAGGAGAGTTGTTTAGTGGTGGGACCCATTAACCTTAGGTGGCAATCTAGCTAGATTTTTGTCATTTGTTTGGTCATCTACTTGGGGCCTGTAGCATTACTGTATAGAGAATGGTACCCTTGCTGCTCATCTCTACAAAATTAATACCAGTGGAAATATTTGTCACATATCATGGGAGCAAAAACTCAACATTTGCATTGGTGTTGCATATGGATTGTATTACCTTCACATGAGTACTCGGCAAGGTGTCATACACCGAGATATGAAGACCACAAATATTCTGTTGGACAAGGCTTAGGTAGCTAAGATTTCAGATTTTGGTTTGTGCAAAATGGGCATCACATGCAGTTTTGGCACCCACATTAGCACAGACGTTAAAGGCACAATTGTTTATTTGGATCCAGAGTATTTCATGACTCGTCGGCTAATCAAGAAATCAAATGCGTATGCCTTCGATGTTGTGTTGTTGGAAGTGCTTTATGGGAGGTTGGCAGTTGATATGAAGCTTGAGGAAGAACAATGCAGTCTAGCCCAATGGGCTCAACATTGTATCAAAAAGGAGAAACTTGGTCAGATCATTGACCCTAGTATGAGGGACCAAATCTCACCATATTGCCTGAAGGTGTTTGCAAAAATTGCTAACAAATGCTTACATAATCATCCAAATGGATATCGTACAATGGTTGATGTAGTGGTGAGCCTCAAGTGCGCTTTGGCAACATAGGATCAATGCAAGGATATACAAGTAGATGTTGATCTGCCACAACACTATAGGAAATTACACTTTCAACTACTAAATTTTTATTTGCCGAAGTTGCTTTTTAGTCGCTAAAAATCAATGGCGACTAAAGTTCTTCTTCGCCCAGTTAGTCGCAGAAGCCTTGTCAGCTACAAAATTTATGATGGCCACTAATTATCTTATCTTCGACTACTAAAACGGACTTGGTTGACAAACATAACATGTTGGCTATGAAAGATTTAGTCACCAAAAGTAATCAAATCAAATCAAATCAAAATGAAATTCTTTTCAACGACTAAAATATTTAGTCGCTAAAATGTTTTAGTCGCTAATAATAATACATTTAGCGACTACATATTTTAGTCGCCGTTTAATGTCACCATTAGCCACCAAATAGGCTAGTCGTCGTTATTGTTCACGACTAAACATTTCAGTCACCAAAAGACTGGATATTTTCATTTTATTGTATTTTACAACCAAACATTTTAGTCGCCAAAGGATGCCATGTTCTTTCATGACGAAAATATTTGGTCGGCAATAGTTTCTTCCCTTATCTTGATTTGTTTTGGCTACTAACTATTTTCCGCCAAAAGTCTTCTCTTTTTTTTTTCTACTAAATATTTAGTCACTAAAAATCTTTGCTTGCTTTTTTTTACTACCACATATGTAACAACCAAGATTTTTAATTATTCTGTAAAATTTATACTAATATTATTTAATTACAGTTGGAAAAATATATGATTTATTTTGTATTATTATGTGTAATTTTGTAAAATAATATAATTATTATGAATTTAGGGGTCAAAGTATAAATAAATAATAATAATAATAATGAGTGTGGTAGTAAAATAAATAATTAATTGTCTGTTGATATATGATAAAGTGTAATTTAATTAGGGATTAATTATTTCTATAATTATATTTAAAAAATTGGGTTAAAATGTAATTATCTTAAATATTTATATAAGATATGTATGAATCATCAAATTTATGATCAAATCTCATAAGAAAGGTTTGGGCTGCCACGTGTTGGCTCAGGAGGCGTCTACCTCCTTATAAATAGGGATCAATTGGGTGAAGAAAAGAAAAGGAAGAAGAAGGAAAAGGAAAAGAAAGAAGGAAAAAAAAGAAAAGGAAGAAAGAAAGAGAGAAAAGAAGGAGAGAAAGGAAGAAAAAATAATAGAAGTTAAGAGGGTCTTTGTGAAAAGAAAGAGTAAGGTATTAAAGTTAAGGTGAGTTATATTATATCTTGAATTACTATAATATATTTTACGTATGTTTTGACTTACCATTATATGTTTTATACAAGTTATGTTTTATAAACTATTATAAATTATATAAATATTTCAGTTACATGGTTTAATTTTTGAACCCTATTTGTTAAAATGAAACCCATGGGTATGTTTGTTTATATTTAAAAGAATATTTGACTGTAACCTTATCAACAATTATGTTTTGTAAGTATCACCACGGGAGTCCCACGCCTTGGGGGACTTAAATAACCATTGGCCTCTGTTTGACCACTTTCTGGTCCTCTGTTTTTCATGGATCCATTGACCTTTGTTTTGTGCGGAGCAAAGTGCTGTACGGAGCTAAATGCTATACTATTGTGGGAGCCACCTCTAGAGTTCGTACGAGCCACCTCTTGAATCCGTACCTCTGTTTTGACTGTCACTTCTGTAACCTCTGTTCTATTCTGTTCAGTACTGTGGTTATGGTCATTTACTTACATAATTTCTGTATTTCAATTTCTGCCACTTAAATGATCTGTTTACCAAATTACCGTGGTTATGGTTATTTATTTACATAATCTTACTTAACGGATTATTTGTTCCGACTAAGTTATCTTAAATGTTTTGGCTACATAACTATCCAGGGTTGTTTCGTGTCCCTTATACTCTCGGTATAACATTTCTCACTCTGCCATGTGCTTATAGTTGTTTACCAATTTTCAGGAAATAATGCAATTCAGGAATAGCTTTGGAAAGTCTTAGATGCGGGACTGCGGAATAGACACACACAACACTTTTATGATATTTTTTCTATGTAAATATCGGCCTTTTCGGTCAATAAATTTTGTTATAGAAATAGAAATTTCAATGATTATTTTGGTACCCTCACTTAAATATTACTTCCGCTCGCGTTTATTAATTTGTTTATGAATTGGCCGGAGGTAACTTCAGTTACTGGTCATCACGATACTTAACCCTTGGGTATAGGGAGCGGGTTGTGACACATTCTATGCCGCGTTGTGATTAACGTGGTATATTTGGTTACTTTATTCGTCGATTTAATTATATTATAATTTTATATGATTTTATATATATATATATATATATATTAAATTTTTTACTTTTTTTGTGTACATAAATTGTGAAGGATAATAGATATAATTTATATTTGTTATAGTAAAAGAGGGAAAAGAAACAAAACAGTGTCGGGTTCAAGCACCCACCAAAATTATAATATAATTAAATACAAATAATTTTCAGTGCAGTATTAAAAAAAAAATTATTTCGATTTTTTTAAAGAGTGGATTCAAATTTTAAAAATACTGATTTTGAAACTATTTTCCATCAGTGGAAAGTTCACGGATAAAAGAAATGAAAAGTTCACCTCAAATTTTTTTTTCAACTCTTACATATGATTCTGTCATTGTGTTCTCATTTTTTTTTTATCGTAAACAAAACGAGTGAAAAATTTTTTTAAGTCACCCATTATTTCTCATTTTGGCCCAAAATAATTTTTGACAACTACACAGTGAGTTGTTTTGGTAAGTTTTTTTTTTTTTTTTGAGGAAATATTTTCTATCAAATTAATCATCTAATATGTATTTATCAGAGTATGCAGCGGTCACTACTAAAATTTCAACTTTTTGCGACGGTAAAATGCTTCATAAGGAGGGAAGATTGTAACAACCCAGATTTTTAATTATTCTGTAAAATTTATACTAATATTATTTAATTACAGTTGGAAAAATATATGATTTATTTTGTATTATTATGTCTAATTTTGTAGAGTAATATAATTATTATGAATTTAGGGGTCAAAGTATAAATAAATAATAATAATAATGGGTGTGGTAATAAAATAAATAATTAATCTTTTGTTGGTATATGATAAAGTGTAATTTAATTAGGGATTAATTATTTATATAATTATATTAAAAAATGAGTTAAAATGCAATTATCTTAAATATCTATTAAAAATAAGTAAATCTATATAATTATTAATCGAATCTATTGGAAATTTTTGGGGCACGTATACGCCTTATCTCCCTATAAATAGAGAGGCGTTCACTTGGGAAGAAAAGAAAAGGAAAGAAAGAGAGAGGAAGAAAGGAAAGAGAGAAAGAAAGGAGAGAAAGGAAGAAAAAATAATGGAAGTTAAGAGGGTCTTTGTGGAAAGAAAGAGTAAGGTATTAAAGTTAAGGTGAGTTATATTATACCTTGATTTACCATAATATATTTTACGTATGTTTTGACTTACTGTACGGGGAGCAAATATTCCGGCTAGCCCGTACTCCTCTCTTCCGAGCTCCGTTTCTGTCCGATCTCCTGCGAGCAAACAACGGTGAGCTACCCGGCGGTGTGTGGTCGAAAAAACCCTCCGACGATCAAGTTAGCACACACCTTAGGATAGATAGAGAGAGAGAGCGAGGAGTGTTTGAGTTTAAGAATTTCCTTACAAAAATGTTCCTGTTCCAGTATGGGGGGCGCAGACATGCTTATATACCCTTCTGCGCCCCAAATCTACTCTCATTGGTCTCTCGACACGTGGCTCTGTTATCCCATCTGTCAGCACAAATCTTGCTATACATCACCTAACCCAACTGCCAGCCCACTCTGCTGGGAGCACGGCAGCCGGGCAACATTACCTCGGCTATCAACGGCCATACTGATCATGCCGAAATGCAATTGACATAGTTTCCTACTACCGGGCCTAATTCCAGCCGTGCTCAACTGTATTCCGGCGAAGCTGAGCTGGAGATTGGTTGTGCCGGTCAGCCAACAACCTTCTTGGCCACGTTCCAAGTGCCGGCCTTCCTACCGGGTTAAGGTGCGTGCATTACAGCCTTGCAACGCGTGAGCCGGGGAGCCTCATCCGGGCTGTTCCTCCACCTGTCCACCCTTCGTGGAACCGAGATCATATAGCTCGGTTCCACGCGGGCTTTGCCATTACCGAGCAGTATCACGGCCTGATCTTGGAGCCCAATACCTCAGCCCAAATCTGTTCGGCTAACGTCACGGCCCAATCTCAAATCATAAATCTCCCTCTCACTTACCATTATATGTTTTATACAAGTTACGTTTTATAAACTATTATAAATTATATAAATATTTCAGTTACGTGGTTTAATTTCTGAACCCTATTTGTTAAAATGAAACCCATGGGTATGTTTGTTTATATTTTAAAGAATATTTGACTGTAACCTTATCAACAATTATGTTTCGTAAGTACCACCACGGGAGTCCCACGCCTTGGGGAACTTAAATAAGCATTGGCCTCTGTTTGACCACTTTCTGTTCCTCTGTTTGTCATGAATCCATTGACCTTTGTTTTGTGCGGAACAAAGTGCTGTACGGAGCTAAATGCTACAATATTGTGGGAGCACCTCTAGAGTTCGTACGAGCCACCTCTTGAATCCGTACCTCTGTTTTGACTGTCACTTCTGTAACCTCTGTTCTATTCTGTTCAGTACTGTGGTTATGGTCATTTACTTACATAATTTCTGTATTTCAATTTCTGCTACTTAAATGATCTGTTTACCAAATTACCGTGGTTATGGTTATTTATTTACATAATCTTACTTAACGGATTATTTGTTCCGACTAAGTAATCTTAAATGTTTTGGCTACATAACTATCCAGGGTTGTTTCGTGTCCCTTATACTCTCGGTATAACATATCTCACTCTACCGTGTGCTTATAGCTGTTCACCAATTTTCAGGAAATAATGCAATTCAGGAATAGCTTTGGAAAGTC